GAAGCTGGAAATAATTTTTTTCATTTTTTACTCTTTCATTTTCTTGTGGTCTACTTAGACATTTTTAGATATCCCCCCTCCCTTTTTTTCAACCCATCTTTTTGTAGTTTCCTGTAATCTAGCGGCTTGGTACGATATATGGCAGTGACAACCTGCTGACAATGATGTAGTGGACTAGGAGGGTTTTCACTCAAAGACACTGCGAAACGAAATATTGTCCCCAAGGTCAAACTTAGAGGCTTTTATACTTACGACGAGTTAGTTAGATTTGAATAATAGTTTAGCTATAGTATGTATGATGCTGCTTGAATGAAAATGTACTTTTGTCTTCATTTGATTAATAAACTAACAATCTAGCCTGGCTACGAGTATACAAAAAAAAAAAATAATAATAATTATATATTTTAATTTTTTTTTGATTGATATAAAAAATCAATTAATCTAATATATATTTTAATACTTGATTTTAATTTCTTTTTTAAAAAATCTTTTCATATTAATGAATGATGATATATTGTAACAATAATTTTATTAATATCAAACTTGTAAGGAAATATTATATTTAGAGTCAAAAATATTATTTATTTTTTATTTATTTTTTTTTTTTTTACCTGCAATCATATCACAATAACATGTTTTTATTAAAATATTGAGAAATACCTAAATATTTTATAGACTTTCACAAAGCAACTAACTCATCATTGTACATTATTAGTTAAAGGACTACACTACTTAAAAAATATGATGAGTTCACTAAACTAGTTCAGACTAATCAAAACTAAGTCTAAACTAGGTACTCTAAGTTAGATTTAGAGGACAATATTTTACTCTTCTAGTAACTTGGCAATAGTACCTCTAAGTTAACCAGGGTTTTTGTCAACTATTGATTATTCCAAAAAATGATAAATTGCTAAAATTGGCACTGGAAAAAAAGGAAGGAGGAATGCAAATCAAAGCTCTCCAAAAGGTTCTTGCTTCATTTCACAGTTTTCTCTTGAAAGAGGTTTGCCTGATTGGGATATTCTCTAAGCTTCATAACATTTGAGAAACTTAGCCATTCCTGAAAATGACTTCAAGAAGAATATTTGAGGAACTTATCTTTCTACTGATGTATAGATTCGCTTATCGCTAGTGAAGCCAATATCATATTCTAGAAGAGTTTGTTTGAAAAGGATAAAGAAATCTTTTTAAGAACTTTGCCTGACCAGAATAGAAGCTTGGAGATCTCAGTTTTTGTTCAAAAAAACCTTTTCACCATCTGAAGAACTTAATGAGAGATTGGAGTTGAACCTTCTTTTTTTACCTGTTGCTCACTTTTTAGTATCATAATTATTTTCTAGAGGTTGAACATATATGATTGGAGGAAATATTTTTTCTAGAACTTTCTTTCCTATATCATTAATAATATATTGAGACATGTGAGTGTGATTAATAGGAGCTTGTTTACATTTCAAAAATTGACATGTTTCATATCAGTTAATCATCTTTGATAAGGATTTGTGTTATCAAAAATTCAGGATCAAACTGAGGTAGGCAAAATTCTCCAGAAAACCATAAAAACAATAGCTCTAAGAGGCCCACAAGTAACTGAAAGAGGAAATATAAGCTCTTCTGTCATCAAAAATCTCCATATACCTTCCACTTCAAAGATTAAATAGGCCTTCAGGTACTTCATAGTCAGTTCTTCTTCCTTTGAAAACTTTTTTGCCATTGGTATTAAAGATGTTACTTAGCTTTTTTTAATCACTATAAGTAAAGTTTTTGAGTGAAAAGGTTTGTAAACAATAAGGGAAGGGTAGAAGTGACTCTTGAAGTTATACTTTAAATTGTTTTAAGGAAAGTATTAAGACTTTATTAGCAAGAAAATATAAAAACTTCTTGCGAACATCTTTTTTATATGTGGTCAGAGGATCAGCAAAAAGAGTTTTTTTTCAATATCAAAAATATTATTTATATACTATTAATCAATTTTATTATTATAGTCATTACGAAAAAAAACTTTTTTCATTAATCTTTAAATTATACACAAAAAAGATATTCATAAGAAGAGTTTTACTTTTTTACTAATAAAGTTTTAACACTTTTCTTAAAACAACTTGAAGTTGACTTTAAAAATTGTTTCAACCTTTCTTTTATTGTTTACAAACCTTTTCACTCAAAACTTAACTCCAGTAATTAAAAAAAGTCAAGTAATACTTTTTATATCAATAGTAAAAAAGTTTTAAAAAGAAGAAGAACTAACTGTAAAGTATCAGAAGTCACTTCTAACCTTTAAAATAAAAGATTTATAAAGATTTTATTATAGTTAAAAGGCTTATTTTCTCTTTTTTAAACTGTTCTAATTCTCTTGGAACTTTTACTTTCACAATTTTTTAAGAAATTTTACCTATTTCAATTTGACCTTGAATTTTGAATAGCACAAATTCTCACCAAAGATAATTGACTAACATAAAACACATTAGTAGCTAAATACAAGCAAGTATCTATTAATCATCTTATATATTTCAATAATATTATTGACAATAAAAGAAGTTGATTGATATTTTATTTCTACTTATTCTTTTAATTAGATTAATCTATATATTAAGTTCTATTAGGTTAATAAAATATAAGCAACAAGTCTCCAGATAATAAAAAAATTGTTATTTGTTTAAGCTGAGATCTTTTTCTCTTATTATTTTAAGCAAACAAAGTTTAAGATCAAGGTCTTTTTCTTATTTAGGTTAGATAATAAGATTAGTTCATATTAAGCTTCAATTCTTTGGTTACAGTTGAGAATATATTTTTCTAGAAGTTGTTGAAGAATATCATAATTAATGAAAATCCTCATCTCTTTAAAAGTCACTTATCATTATAAGGCAAAAAAATTGTTGAGAAATCTGATTTTTTGAATAATAGAAGATATCTACCAGTAAAATTTCTTTAACTAGATATAGCTGTTGGAAGATATTATACTAAAATAATATAAATCAATTTCCACTGGATCATATAAAAACCTAGAATCCATTATAAGTTGTTCATCTATTGCAAGTAAATAAAAAATTATTGTTCAAAGAAAGTTTGAACTAAGTATGTTTTAAAAGTAAAAATTCTTACTAGATAATAAGTTTCCTTAGATAGTACATAAGAAGAAAATCAAGATCAAGAATAGATAAGTTTCTCAGATGATTAGGAGAAAAAAAAATATTCCAATTGAATATTTTTTATTGAAAAGAAGTCTTGAAAAACAGGATTTTAAAAAAAGCTAGAGAATTTTATTTTATTTTATTTTTTTTTATTTTCTTATAGTTTACTTGAACATTTTTAAATATATCCTTTTTCTTTTTTCAATCCATTCTTTTGTAATTTCCTGTATTCCAGTGACTTGGTAGAACATTTAATAGTAACAACCTGCCAGTAATGAAATAGTGAACTAGAAGGATCTTTATTCAAAATCTATTATGGAATAAAATATTATTTCCAAAATCAAACTTAGAAGCTATCATTGTCTATAACAAGTTAGTTAGATTTGACATTGATGTTTAGCTGTAGTATGTATCATGCTGCTTGAATAAAATATATTTATGTTTTCAATTGATTAATAAACTATGATCTAGCCTGGCTACGGGTACTCAAAAAAATTGCAGCCACTACGCATGTACTTTGTGTCGCACCATTCGCCACGGTCAGTGTTCACGTGACGTTACGATCTTCCTGTGCTACATTTCATGTAACCAATATTTAAGGTAACGACTCGTTCTTTAGAAATGTTCGGCGAATTTGGAGTCTACATAATTCATTTAAATTATTCAGTCGCCTACTTAATTTATAAATCATTAAATGATCACATATCATATTCATTTAATCATTTAATATTAATAAAGGGCATCTTTCCCAGTGGAAAAAAAAGAAAGAAAAAATGAAAGCGATCAAAGTTCTCAAAGATCTTTCAGTATTTCTGGAGTTAACAATACTACCTAATAGTAACCCAATATCTTATAACATTCAAATTAAAAGGGGGCAAATTCTGCTAGATATAGTTAGGAATTTTATGATGGTAAATAATATTCCCTGTTATTTGGAAGTCTCAATAATGTCAATTATCGAATCATTGATGAGAGAGAGTTGGCGTCGAGACATGGAAAGAGACTCAAAAAGTAAGCATGTTTTAACATTAAACAAATTCTTGACTAATCGTTTCGTCGGTTCATATCAAAATCTAAGTTAACGTAAATGCGGATATTGCTTTTTTTTTTTTTTTTACACCTGCATAGTAAATGATTCGGAGGCAAAAAAAATTCGATCAGAACTTGTGGAAAAATATCAGAAACATACGGTTCGCTTTAATGATGCCCCTGCAGAGGTGAGATGTTTTTTTAGCTAGATAACAATGTTTCAAATAAATCACATCTTTCTTTCGTAAGAAATTTTTTATTAATATAATTATTCTTTTATCTCAATGAAGGATATCTTTCCTAAGGCATATCATACATTAGTACATTCTCCGGTACCGTCTATCTTTGACGCTTTACTCCAATTTGAACAAGGTTGCAAGCAAGCTATCAAAGAATTCACAATTACAAAAAATAATGAGATGGGGAATATAAGTGAAAGGTGAGTTCCTGATCAACATCGTATTGTACAACATTGCAATTCTTATACCACATTTTATTATTAGACTTCAAAGGGAAGTCGATGAAAATAGTGACGATGATTACACAAAGTTAATCGAAAGACAAGTTGAGGTAAATATCAATAAATTTACGGAAGAAATTTAAATAGGACTAAATTATGATTCTCTCGCCTACTTAGGAGGTTGAGCTGAACCAGGCAACATGGCAGAGTCAATTAGAAGAGATTCAGAGAAAACAAAAATGCGAATATTGTAATCTTGTTCTGAAACTCTATGAAGCTCACCAGCGATGGATGGTAGAATCTAGTGTGGATCCTTCTGGATTATATAAGTTGGATGGAAAAGACATTGTCTCGGAGGTTATCGATGAAATGAAAAAGCAAGAAAAAGGACTTTCAAAAGAACTTCTACGACTTGGTCAAGAGAACGCTGCTCGAAGTCGTCCAGGGAGCATAAGCTCGATGGCAGATATTATTCATTCTCCAGTGATGATGTCACCCACTTCACCAATGTTTGCCAATCCCCTGGAAGAAAAGAAACCAACTTTTTTTGCGGTAAACAAAATTTTCCTTTTTCCTTTTTCTTTTATTTTCAAAATACTAGATAAATGAACTATCTTGTATATAGGAAAATGACATTGCAAAGATAGAAGAATTGGGTTTTAATAGTGAACAGGCCAAGATGGCTCTCGAAATGACCAATCGTAATGTGGTATATGGCTTGATTTTCTATTCTGAATTATTGCACACTTATTAGTAATACATAGCATTAAGAAATTTTATATTTTCAGGTACAAGCTATAGACCTTCTTATAGAAGGAGTGGAAAAGGTGGATTCAAAAATAGCCAGTGTACAGAATATGCAAGCACGCCGTCCATCAATACCAGTCGTGATTCCTTCTCCACCTCCTAACCATAAGCGCTCAAAATCCCATAGTAGACCGTTAGCGTTAGCAGTGCTTACAAAACAAGAAAAAAAAAATGGATGGTCACCAATAACATTCTTGCAGCAACATAAACAAAATATGATGACTTCGCAAAATAATTCATCTGTAAGAAAAATAAGTGGATGGCTTGGGAAAGCAATGAATTTTGGAAGCGAAGAAGGAAATGGGTGTGTATATTTATTTTAACTACATATATTAAGGGTGAGTTTAAAATAACTTATCTTAAATTAACTTGGCTGATCACAGTGCTAATTTAAAATTTCAACTTCTTAAAGCCATGGGCCATTGCAGATGGATGATCCTCAACTTGTGGAATCCTTTACTGTTTCACTAGGCAATCAGGTCAAGTCCACACACAACCTGCGTTTGCTGGCATCAGACATGGATGATTTGCTGAGATCTTCAAATGATCCCGCAAGAGATATGGCTTACAGGGCACAAACTGCAGCGAATTTGTATTCCCAAAATTTAACAGCTATTGTTTTATTACTGACGCCTAGAGATTGGCCCAATTATAAATTGGGAAAAAGTGCAAATAAAGGTACCTTTCAATTGATGTTCTGAGTAAAAAATTTTTATTTTTTTAATAACATTTGAAATTTGCGAATAGCATTTTTTGAGTGCTGCAAAGAATCCACCGAATTTCATTTTGATAGCGTGGATTTGCAATTTGAAGCTATCGAAAGAGATTATTCGGTTAACGGCGAAGTGACTTCAGTGCAAGAAGGTATTCGTATAACCATTGATGAAGTTTTAAATTAAATATATACGCATACATATATAATAATCCAATTTATTATCATTAGGCGACTTTTTCATTACGAGACATTCGAATTTGCCATTAGTTCATGTGGTATTCCACTTAGTGATAGATTTTGAATGTAGGCGTTTATGATTTCATAATATACACGTTTTTTGCATTCTTCTGCATATTTCTTAATTAAAAATTATGACAATTTATATAGCGATTCAAAAATCGGAGCTAACGCAGCGATCAAAAGTGATTGCTGGACTTCGCAATATTCTACGTACAGTGACGCGCTTCGATATTACAAGCATTTCACTCCCTTTCCTTCTACTTCCGTCAAATGTGAACTGTTTTTCTGATCCAAATATTAATGAAAATCTTTTATATCGAAGAGGTGAGCTTGTGCTCAAGTGTACAAAAGGATTTATGATTGAAAATTCTCGGTTACCTAAACGTATGGCTGAGAAGGAACAAGAGACAAAAACAGTATCATTTTTATTGCCGAAGAGTGCAACGGAGCAGCAATTCCAAAGTCTCAGATTGTTATTAACCGGGATATTTAGAGCGAGTTAAAAAAAAAAAGAAAATAATTTGTGAATATTATTTATAAAATAATTTTTTGTAGAGTAGTATTTATTTTTATAAAGACATTATTTAAATTTTGGTTTTTATTATATTAGCAATTTCCTTAGTATCATAGTTACATTATTTGAAAAAAGCAACATAAAACACTTCTGTATTAATAAGGTTAATCTGGTATATTTAAGTAGATCATGTAAATTTGTGGCGGGCATCTGCATGGTTGGTAAAACTTCATCTTTATTAGCGTTTATAAATTTATTTGTTTCGCATAAAAAAAATTTTTTTTGATTATTGGAAATATCTTGAGATGGTATTAACAAAATTGAGAATATTAGCTTTTGAAATCAGTTTATCACACAATACTTATTTATATGTAGTTTTCCCGTTTGTTTAAATTGAAAACCTGGGTATACAAGTAAATTAAATTTTTATTCAAAATAAAAATATATTTAAAAAATTATTACAATCGATTGAATAAAAAATATTAGTTGCCAATATTTCAAAAAAATTTTTAAATTAATAGGATTTTACTATTTCATTAGCTTATAATTTGTCTTTATTTTGAAATCTAATTTATTGAAATTTTTAAATTATTATTTAACTAGAAATTAAAATAATATTTTTTACTAATAATATTTATTTATTTAATAAACAAAAAACAATTTTAATATTGTATCAAATTTATTATTTATTTATTTTTATTTAATTAAACTAGGGGTTTTTTTTTAATTCACAATCATATCATATGGCTTAATCTTTATTGAAAAGTTTATAACTATTTACAATATTATAGAATTTTTATATAATGACTATCTCATTATTACATTAAGTTAGATCTAGAGAACAATATTTCATTTCTCTAAAGAATTAATATAAACTTCTATCCATTAAATTTATTATTAAAGTTTATTACTATAGATTGTTCAAAAATTATAAATTGCTAAATTAATAAAGAGAAAGGAAAAAAAATAAAAGAAAAAAAGATTCAATTCAAGCTTTTTTAAAAATATTTAACAACTAAACAATCTTTTTTCAAAAGGAATTTATTTGATTGAAATTTTCTTTTTACTTTTACTTAAATTTTGAAAAAGATTTTCTTTATTATCTATTATTTATAATATCAAATAAGTCAATTCAACCAAATTCATTATTTAAGCAAGTATTAGATTAGAATAGCTCAAAAAAAAATATAAAAATCTCAATTTTTAGTTAAAAAAGTCTTCTTATTATCTAAGGAACTTAAGAAAAATAAAATTTTGAAATTCATATTATTTATTTCTTATCTTTTAATATTTTAAATATTTTTCTTAAGAATTTATAATTTTTAGAACTTTCTTTTTAATCACTACCAATATTATCAAAATATATAAATATAATTAATAGAAGCTTGTTTACATTTTATTAACTAATATATTTATATGAATCAATTACTTTTAATAAGGAATTGTGTTATTTCATATTCGAAATCAAATTGAAATAAGTAAAATTTTTCAAAAAACTATAAAAGGGAAAGTTCTAAGAGAATTAAATCAATCAAAAAAAAATATTTTTTTTATTATAACAAAATCTTATAGTCTCTTATTTTAAAGATTGAAAAAATCTTCAAATACTTTATAATCTGTTTTTTTTTTTTGAAAACTTTTTTATCATTTATATTAAAGATATTTGTTTTTTCTTAACTACTAGAAGTCAAGTTTTTGAGTAAAATAATTTATATATAAGAGAAAAAAAAAAAATAGAATCAAATTTTGAAGTTATATTTTAAATTGTTTTAATAAAAACATTAAAACTTTATTAGTAAAAAAATAAAAAAACTTCTTGTAAACATTTTTTTATATATGACCAAAAAATTAACAAAAAGATATTTAATTACAACTGATATTATCTATAAGCTTTTTATTTAAAATATATTAATAGAGATACAGTATATAATTAAATATTATATTATAATATTAATTATTTCTTATATTATATTTTTATATACTGTATATAGTATATAAATTAATTATAATTTATTATAATTTGTTCTAAGCAAATCTATTATTCTTCATAAAAAAATAAACCTAACTAGGAATTAGATAGTTAATATAAAATTATTAATAGTATTGTTAATATAGTCAGTCTAAAACTATATATTAGTTTTATTTTACTATATTATATATTTTAATATATATTGTATATTAAAGTTAAATTTTTAAGAATTATTTAATTACTTAAATATTCTAATACTTTTAATTCAATCTTAGAAAAGATTTTTATCTTTAGTATCACTATTTGTAGCATTATAAATAAATTTTATTAAATAAGTTCTTTATTTAAATAAATATTGAATTAAAATATTTACTATAAGCTAAAATAATTAGGTTTCAGAATTTGTTAGTAAAATTTGAGATAAAAAATATTCAAATAATTATTGCAATCCTGAAAATATTGTCTCATAATTTACTAATTCAATTTGAAGTTAATAAATATTCAAATAATTTACTATAGTTTTAAAAATAAGATTCTAATAGTAATACAATAAATTGAATTAGATTAGATTTTAACTAAATTTGATTTGATCCAGTTTTTATAGATACAAATCAAATACAAGTTTGATTCATTTTAAACTAATTTAATTTGATTCAAACCTAAAACAATTTGATTTGAATTCTATTTGATTTAATCCCAATTTAATTTAATTCAAATCTGGTTTAAATTTAATTCGATTTAATTTGAATCTATATTTAACCATAACTGTTTTAATTTAATTAAGTTAAATTAAATATATTTAAATTAAATTGGTTTTATTTTAATAAAAAAATTTTAATTAATATATTTACTTTTAAAAATATTTTTTAACTTTAAATTCATGTATATATTTAAATTTTTTAAAGTATTTTTAAATTTAAAAATTTTTGTTTATTAAATTTAACCAAATATATTTATTCTATTCATTATTGTTTATTTTTTTTTATATTAATATATTCCCTACTATAGCTAGCATATTTTTAAATAACTTGATTTTCAATATATTTTTTTCTTTATTTTTATTATTGATACTGTATTTCAAATATTTGCAAAATATATTGATCTGATAATATTTTATTATATCAATAATTCATATGATATTTTTTTTTTCTTTTTATTTTTTATAGTTAATATTGTTTTTTTAATCCAGTTTTGAGACAAATACAAGTTATATCTTCTATAGATAATACTGTAATACTATTGTAACAATCTGCATCTACTTTTTACTTGGAAATTAGATCCAGATATATATAATAAGATTCTGGACTACCCTAAACATAGATTATAATATAGTAAGATAATCAAATCATGCCATCAAGGAGATTGGTCCTATTTATCATGAATAGTAATCTTGAATAGAAGTATAAGTAAATAAGGAACCAATCATTTTTTTTTTAATTTTTTATTTTTAATTATTTTGCTTTTATATTACATAAGTATTTAGACTGATATACCATATGACTTATATATATACAGTATATATTTTTTTTTTGTATACCCATAGTCAAGCTAGATTGTCAGTTTATTAATCAATTAAAAACATAAGTACATTTTCATTTGAGTAGCATAATACATACTACAGCTAAACTTTTATCATAATTTAACTAACTTATCATAAGCATAATAGCCTCTAAATTTGATTTTGGAAACAATATTTTGCTCCACAGTGTCTTTGAGTAAAGACCCTTCTAGTCCACTGTATCATTGTCAATAAGTTGTCACTGCCATATATCAATTCAAGCCACAGAAATATAGGAAACTACAAAAGAATAGATTAAAAAAAAGAGTGGAGGATATCTAAAAATGTCTAAGTAAACAATAAGAAAATTAAAAGGTAAAAATTGAAAAAAAAAATCTCTAACTTCCTTCAAAGACCTGCTTCTCAAAATCTCTTCTCAATAAGAAATGCCTGATTGGGATATTTTTTCTTTTTCTGATCATCTGAGGAACTTATCCATTTTTGATCTTGATTTCCTTTTCAAGTACCATTTGAGGAGACTTATCACCTAGTAGGAGCCTTTACTTTCAGAATACACTTGATCCCAACCTTTTTTGGATAGGAATTTTTTATCCACCTGTGATGGAAAGATGACTTATGATTAGGGATCTCAATGGATCGAATAAGATCAATTTTTATTTGATTCGATACATATCTGAACGAATTTATTTTTATTTAATTCATATTTGTATGGATAATCTGATATTTTTTTTAATCGTGTATTTTTTTTTTCTCTACCTAATGTTTACTTGCCATCTTTAGGTTTTATATATAAATATTTAGTTAATAATTTACATTTTTAATATTTATAATTTATTGCCATTTATGATCATTTTCTTCTAAATTAAAATATACACC